TCCCTTAGCAAAATGAAAAGTGTGCAGCACATATGCTGCAAATATACTGCATATGTGCGGCACACTCTAGAGTGTGCAGTAGACAGCTTTGGGGAGTGTGCAGAAGTGTGCGATAAAAATTCTTTCTCATTGCACACCTACTGCACACTTCCATAAGTGCAGATAGTGTGCAGAAAGTATGCAAGAGACTTGGTATTTCAAAAGAAGCATGTGGAGAGTGTGCGATAACCTTAAAATTTGATCAAGAGTATGCAACAAGTGTGCAGAAAATGTAATTTTTCTGTCATGAGTGTGCAGAAAATGTGCAAGACACTTGGTTTTTCAACAGATGTGTACAGAAAGCGTGCAATAAACTTACAATTTCATCAGTAGTTTGCCATAAGTGTGCAGAAAACTCAAATTTTTCGTCATGAGTGTGCAACAAGTATACAGAAAACTCAGAAATTTTAAGTTGTGTGAGTTGAGTATACAACAAGCTTTTAATTTTATCGGGGTATGCTATTTTAGAGTAAAAACCTTATCATTTGATTATTTAATATGTACCAATACAAGATACATGTATATGCAATGCCATTGACAATTACACAAACAAAATACTTCAATACCCATTTTACTTTATATCAATCAATTAGAAATAATCAATGTTTATATAAAATTTTAATTATTATCATATATACGGGGCAAGTACACTATGATTAATAATACACTATTGTGAGCTATAGTGGGTATTGACTGTATGTCGCAGGCCAGAGAGAAATCCAGCCAAATTAGTCCAACAAACAAATCAATAACATTATGTAAAGCTAGTTATAAATTGTATTGTTCTAACAAACTATGGTGTTTACCTCACTCAAAGTATGAGAATAAGTCAAGGGCAATATAAGTTTAACAACATCTAATAGAAAAATGCCTAATCAACCTTTTAAACTCATTCACTAAATCACAACTTATTATTAGGATGTATCAGTCAAGAAATGTAACAGTTATGAAATCTAGGGTTGTGGTAAATTAAACATGGCTAGTATAATCTTGACTTTGCTAGTTAATTTTCACAAAAAGATAAAAACACAGTAAATGTATTTTTAGTATTTTTATGATGATATTTACTAACTTCATATTTCTTCTATTATATTGAAAGTCAACCTTATCTAGTCAGATTTTAATCTTGCTTATAGTCAGATTTTACTTGACCTTGGCTGTTTTAAAAAGTGAAATTTCAATCCAGCCTAATATATATAATGTGATGTAAAAGAAAGCGAACATAAAGGGTATAGTACTGTCCCTCATAAAGGGTGGGAAACGAGGACAAATTAATATTTTTAAAGATACATTTTATTATAAATCATGCTCAATCACACTTTAAGCCCAAGGTTTAACAGTCAACTGATGTTAGAGAATGCCTTACTCCACCAACCACAGATTCAACAACTGTGAATTTCTTTTGTTAGCCTGGCACCTATTATTAGGTCTCTATTCCTGCAGCTATTGTTACAACAACCACCTATTTGGTGTTATCAGATGTGTGGTATCCTGTCTAAGTCTTTGTTTATGAGTGAAGGCTGTTTACATTCAAGCCAGTTTTAATTCAGGAGCATAGTGGAAGAGTACAGAGTGTAGAAAAATTGGATTGAGGAAGGTATGTATTACAGTAATGCATTGGATCATTTGGGCATCTAATCAAATTGAAAATGAGAAAATTGATCTAATTTGTAGTGTACATTGTAAACATTATATCTATATTACATTAAATAAGTTTTAATTTATGATGTATACTTCCCTTTTAGCCAACAAAGAAACGAGGATATAGAATGCAATCACTGTTTAGTCTCTTCATTTCTTATAAAACTATGATCAATTGCTCACCAAAATGTTTCTTCAAATGCAGTTGAATCTCAAAAAAATTTGTCTCTTACTGTGTTATTTGAACAAATGGACATTTCTTGAATAATTGTTTATTTCAGGTGACCCTAGAGAGTAGACAACATACAGAAGCTGGCATGACTGGAAGGGACACTTTGCTGTGAATATCTATAGTTGGTGGCTCATCGAAACTCTCACAAAGTGTACCAAAAAGTCAAGTACTTTTGTGATAAAGAAGTTACTAGAGAGTTTTTTCAGCCCACAAGAACTGTCAGCAACAGCTTCTTTTGTGAAGGATTCTCTAGTTGAAAGAGCTGTGCAGAGTAAGTTTTAAAAGAGAACAACACTAACTGCAAGCTGATTACATCATTCAACAAGTATATGTTGAAAATAAGTGAAAAAGTGAATACAACCATAAACCCTAAGATTTCAACATAACATCGATGTGTGAGGAATGTATATAAAGTATTCTTCAAAGCAGTTTTAGCACTGTTTATTTTTTTAATATCCAAGACATTTTTCTGCCTACCTTTCAACCTTTTCTTTATATGAATAATAAACACTTGAACTTGATTTTAGGACTTCTCAAACAGTTATGTGTATATTGATGGTTTTTTTGTCCTCCACATGGATGTTTAAGATTTGGATGTTAAGCATTGTGCACAGTGTGGTAAATTTGTAGGACTTTATGGTATGCTCTTTTTTTTAGATTGACGGAGCAGGACAGGATGAGTAAAGAAGAGAAATGTGGCAGAAAGATGTAAAGAAGAGAAATATGGACATGGCTTGGATTTTGCTGATTTTGTTCGATTTTTTAATTTGATTAATAAAGCACAATATATGACTGTAATTTCTTGTTTGTTGTTGATAAACAGATTTTACAATATTTCTGTTGGCACGTCTTTAGATGTAACTCAGAACCTGTCTTTGTAGAATTAATATAAACTGATTGAAAAACGAGTGAATAAAATTTAAATTGTGTTATAAAATATTTAAATTAGTGTGCAAGAAAGTATGCAAAAATTGCGCAGGAGGTGTGCAAGAAGTGCACAAAAGGTGTGCAAAAAGTATGCAGGAGGTGTGCAAGACGTACGCAGGAGGTGTGCAAGATGTGCGCAGGAAGTGTGCAAAAAGTACGCAGAAGGTATGCAAAAAGTACGCAGAAAGTATGCAAGAAGTGTGCTGGTTGTGGTGTTGGGGGTGTGCAGGAAGTTTGCAGGAGATGTGCAAGGAATGTGCAGGAGGTGCGTATTTTACCATGCAAATGAGGCGTGCTGCGCATCCGCAGAAACCCTTACTGTGAATCTGCTGCGCATCCGCAGAAACAGTGTGCGGGAAGCTTAAAATTTTGCTAAGGGNATTTAATATGTACCAATACAAGATACATTTTTATGCAATGCCATTGACAATTACAGAAACAAAATACTTCGATACACATTTTACTTTATATCCATCTATTAGAAATAATCAATGCTTATATAAAATTTTAATTATTATCATATATAAGTGGCAAGTACACTATGATTAATAATACACTATTGTGAGCTATAGTGGGTATTGACTGTATGTCGCAGGCCAGAGAGAAATCCAGCCAAATTAGTCCAACAAACAAATCAATAACATTATGTAAAGCTAGTTATAAATTGTATTGTTTTAACAAACTATGGTGTTTACTTCACTCAAAGTATGAGAATAAGTCAAGGGCAATATAAGTTTAACAACATGTAAAAGAAAAATGCATAATCAACCCTTAAAACTCATTCACTTAATCACAACTTTTGCAATGCTATGCCCACCATTAAAAAAGATTATTATCAGGATGTATCAAAAACAGTCATGAAATCTAGGGTTGTGGTAAATTAAACATGGCTCCTACTAGTATAATCTTGACTTTGCTAGTTAATTTTCACAAAAAGATAAAAACACAGTAAATGTATTTTTAGTATTTTTATGATGATATTTACTAACTTCATATTTCTTCTATTATACTGAAAGTCAAACTTATCTAGTCAGATTTTAATCTTGCTTATAGTCAGATTTTACTTGGCCTTAGCTGTTTTAAAAAGTGAAATTTCAATCCAGCCTAATATATATAATGTAATGTAAAAGTAAGTGAACATAAAGGGTATAGTACTGTCCCTCATAAAGGGTGGGAAACGAGGACAAATTAATATTTTTGAAGATACATTTTATTATTAATCATGCTCAATCACACTTTAAGCCTAAGGTTTAACAGTCTACTGATGCTAGAGCATGCCCTACTCCACCAACCACAGATTCAACAACTGTGAATTTCTTTTGTTAGCCTGGCACCTATTATTAGGTCTCTATTTCTGCAGCTATTGTTACACCAATTACAACAACCACCTATTTGGTGTTATCAGATGTGTGGTATCCGGTCTAAGTCTTTGTTTATGAGACAAACAGCAAATGAGTGAAGGCTGTTTACTATCAAGCCAGTTTTAATTCAGGAGCATAGTGGAAAAGTACAGAGTGTAGAAAAATTGGATTGAGGAAGGTATGTATTACAGTAATGCATTGGATCATTTGGGCATCTAATCAAATTGAAAATGAGAAAATTGATCTAATTTGTAGTGTACATTGTAAACATTATATCTATATTACATTAAATAAGTTATAATTTATAATGTATACTTCCCTTTTAGCCAACAAAGAAACGAGGATATAGAATGCAATCACTGTTTAGTCTCTTCATTTCTTATAAAACTATGATCAATTCCTCACCAAAATGTTTCTACAAATGCAGTTGAATCTCAAAAAAAATCTCTCTCTTACTGTGTTACTTGAACAAATGGATATTTGTTGAATAATTGTTTATTTCAGGTGATCCTAGAGAGTAGACAACATACAGAAGCTGGCATGACAAGACTGGAAGGGACACTTTGCTGTGAATATCTATAGTTGGTGGCTCATCGAAACTCTCACAAAGTGTACCAAAAAGTCAAGTACTTTTGTGATAAAGAAGTTACTGGAGAGTTTTTCAGCCCACAAGAACTGTCAGCAACAGCTTCTTTTGTGAAGGATTCTCTAGTTGAAAGAGCTGTGCAGAGTAAGTTTTAAAAGAGAACAACACTAACTGCAAGCTGATTACATCATTCAACAAGTATATGTTGAAAATAAGTGAAAAAGTGAATACAACCATAAACCCTAAGATTTCAACATAACATAGATGTGTGAGGAATGTATATAAAGTATTCTTCAAAGCAGTTTTAGCACTGTTTTTTTTTTTTTAAATATCCAAGACATTTTTCTGCCTACCTTTCAACCTTTTCTTTATATGAATAATAAACACTTGAACTTGATTTTAGGACTTCTCAAACAGTAATGTGTATATTGATGGTTTTTTTGTCCTCCACATGGATGTTTAAAATTTGGATGTTAAGCATTGTGCACAGTGTGGTAAATTTGTAGGACTTTATGGTATACTCTTTTTTTAGATGGACGGAGCAGGACAGGATGAGTAAAGAAGAGAAATGTGGCAGAAAGATGTAAAGAAGAGAAATATGGACATGGCTTGGATTTTGCTGATTTTGTTCGATTTTTTAATTTGATTAATAAAGCACAATATATGACTGTAATTTCTTGTTTGTTGTTGATAAACAGATTTTACAATATTTCTGTTGGCACGTCTTTAGATGTAACTCAGAACCTGTCTTTGTAGAATTAATATTAACTGATTGAAAAAACGAGTGAATAAAATTTAAATTGTGTTATAAAATATTTAAATTAGTGTGCAAGAAAGTTTGCAAAAAGTGCGCAGGAGGTGTGCAAGAAGTGCACAAAAGGTGTGCAAAAAGTACGCAGGAGGTGTGCAAGACGTACGCAGGAGGTGTGCAAAAAGTACGCAGGAGGTGTGCAAGACGTACGCAGGAGGTGTGCAAGATGTGCGCAGGAAGTGTGCAAAAAGTACGCAGAAGGTATGCAAGAAGTACGCAGGAGGTATGCAAGAAGTGTGCTGGTTGTGGTGCTGGGGGTGTGCAGGAAGTTTGCAGGAGATGTGCAAGGAACGTGCAGGAGGTGCGTATTTTACCATGCAAATGAGGCGTGCTGCGCATCCGCAGAAACCCTTAGTGTGAATCTGCTGAGCATCCGCAGAAACAGTGTGCGGGAAGCTTAAAATTTTGCTAAGGGAAGTCAAGAGAACACAGGTGAAAGATTTCAACAGGCAGCTTGCTTTGTTACATTTCTCTTCTATAGCACAGCACTGACCTAAAATACATTTCCATATTCATATTGTGAAGTATGAAAAAAGTTCTGCAACTTGTATTTCATAGCTTACTTTGTGCCTAAAATTTCTTCAGGGAGTTAGACTGATCATGATCTAGGCATGGAAACCCAGTCATAGATTACTTTGTGCCTAAAATTTCTTAATTTCAAATTCCAGGCTCAGTGGATATTACTGTCCATATGAGCATCAGTCCTTCGGGAACGGAAGCAGTCAAATCATCAGCCATCTTCTCCAGTAGTCAGAAGACACCAAGTCCAGAGGACACTCAGCCAGACAGGGAAGCCTTGCCCTCAGTAACAGGTGATGGAAGTGACACAGACCAGATCACTGGTATACCACTGCACCCAATTGATGCGGCAAGCAAGGTAATTTCTGAGAGAGGGAACTTAAAAAATTCTGATGAACCACCAAGTGTCTCATCTGTTGTACACTCAGAGCCTACTACCCCCCTGTGTGAAGCCAAAGATGTGCACCTTATGAAAATAAGTGAGACTATAATGTCTTTGGTTACAAAATTGGAGGATGTTGGAAAAGCTATGGAATACATCAAAGATTATCGTGCAATGATTTATGATACAAAGCGCCAGTGTTTTATCCTTCGCTTGGTTTGTCCGTCAGTGCACTCACTAGACCAGCTGTGGCAAAGTTATCGCCGCGGTGAGCTACAGGCTGCTGTAGAGGAAAGTTTTGTCGGCATGAAGACCCTTGAGGATTTGGGCCTGAGCCGCAGCGACATAAATCTGTGGGTTGAAATGGATGAAGATGATTACAATGAATGTAGGAAATACATAAAGGAAAAGACAGAGTTGAAAGGTGTCTATTTTTTTTAAATCTTCCCCTGAAAATTTATGTATGTATATGATATCAGATAAGAGATACCCCTTTGTCATTTATACTTTTCTGCTTGCTCTATAATATAATGTCAGTACTTCAAGTTGGCCTATATTTTTTTTTTTACTTTATGATGAAGATATTTAGTAAAAGACAACTCCCACACACACTCAAACACACAGACACTCTCAAAATAGAGTATTGTATAAAATCAGCAACAGGTCTAATGAATAAGTTATGAAGTCATGATAATTCATGATAAAAAGATCATAGTATTTATGAATTAAAACCCCTTTACTTTTGTTTCAACAAATTATAGCAATGATTTACGAAGACTTGAAGATGACAGTTCGTAAAGGTCCACATGGCAGCGCAGAGAGGACTATATATGGCATACGTCAAGCCCTGATGGCAGTTTTCAGTCTACGGAAAGAAGACATTCTGATTAAATGGTGGGACTACTGCAGCCCTGGGGATTGGGCTGTCATATGTTATGGCATACAACCTCATCATGTGGGTCACATTGAAGACAATATCCAGGATGTACCCAAAGATGACCTCCGTGAACTGGGAGTGATGACCATCAACATCGGCTCACAAACTTTAAGATTGACGGGTCAGATATTTTGTATTTTTAGTGTTTATTATTTTCATCAATTGTGTCAGATAAAAAAAGAGTAGAAGTATATTTTGGTTAGTTTGTTTCTCCTATCCTTTGATTTGATTTGGCTGTTGACTGATTTATTAAAGAATCTTTCCAAAATACTGCAAAAGCTCATGTTTTGATGATTAATGTGTAATTTAACAAGGAAAAGTTCACAATTTGAAATGAGACTCTTGTATCTGTGTACTTAAGTAGCACAACTTCATTGTGACAGCTACTTGTAAACAGTGTAGATTAATTTGAGAATGAATTATGGTGAATTGTTGTATTCCATGCATGATATGTTTATCTATGTGGAAGATTGCTTTCTTTGTGTATTAATATATATAATAAATATCATACCACTAGCTCTTCGCTGCTGTAAATATGTAAAAATAAATATTATGTGGTCACTGTTTTTTATTTCTCTCAGGTGAAGATGTTCCTCAAGAACTTGTGGCTTGGAATGTAGAGAAGGGAGACATTGGTAGCGAGTATTCAGCTTCAGAATCTGGCTACCACACTGGATCACGCCTCACAACAGAATTAGACGTTGACAGCACCTGTATTGGAGACTACGAAGTTGATGAGGGGGTGAATTTTTATTTAGAGCAACCAAGAGAAGACTCTCTTCCGATAAGAAGTCACCAGGAACAGATAGTGAACCAGGTCCAAGATAATGTGGTGACATTCATCACCGGGGAGACGGGGTCCGGGAAGTCAACACAGGTGCCCCAGTACATCCTGGATGACTGTGTGAAAAGAGGGTAGATATTAGTTTAAAACACTTCTTCACACTGGCATACCAGCTGCTGTATATATTGTATGTCTCAAGTCGATCCTGGATTTAAAGATGTGAAATTAGGGGCATAGGATACAGAATAAAATATTTTGAGTTTCATTTCAGTTGAATCCAATATTTCTGCTGTTAATGTATTCTTCAAAATTGTGTGATTCACCAATTTTTTTCATAATTCTTTACTTCTTTTTTTATCAGAATGAAAAAAGTAAGAATTCTTGTCGCAGAGCCGAGACAGCTGGCTGCTGTGACACTAGCAGAACGTGTATCCAAGGAACAGGGTGATCCAAATGTTGGCTGCACAGTAGGGTACAGTGCAGGGGATAAGAGAGAGATCTCCAAGGATACAAAAATAACATTTGTTACTACTGGAGCTCTACTAGAGGTAAATTATTGTGTTTTTATATTTTTCATTTTCTTGGTGCATTTATTAATAATTTTCCTAGCACTGAAAGTTTAAGATAGCCATACAACTTGCTTCTGTGCTCTTCTGAAGTGTAATGAAAGGGGAAAGCAAATATCCAACCAGATATTTATTTTCTACTATTATGTTTTCTTGACCCAAACACTTAAAACAGAAGTCAAATTTTTGCAATACAATATTTTTCTTGTTCTGATCATTTAACTATGTTGTCAGCAAGGCTTGATGAGTTTCAATCCAGTGGATAGATTATGCATGCTGCGGCTCTTTGTCAATTTTTACCGTTCACCGGCTCTTGTAAATGGTTAAGAAAACCAAGATCTTATTTGGAAGTGCAGTGTACTTCTGATGCAGATAAAGTCAGCTCTGGTTAAAAATTTTGATCTCCGTACACAAAGATATCAAGGTAAAAGGACTGCTTTTGCCAACATCCCCCTTTCAAGTTAATGGCTACTGGCCTGTTCAAGCAAAGTGATTGTTCATCAAGGAGCATGAACACTGTTATTGACATTATGTGGCATTGAAATCCAATGGGCTGAAGCCCTGTGCAAGTTTAATTTTCTAAATGCCCTGTGAAGTACGTAGTATAATATTGATTTGATTATGCTTTTATACGATATGTAAGGATGTAATCAAAATTGGCAAATATCTTGTTCACTGTTAGCTTTATTTTCTGCTTTATTTTATGGTGTCTGTTATAATTCTGTATATTTTACAGCTTTGCTACTTTTCATATTCTGACGGTTCACACATATTTCAGAACCTGATACACAGACCCGGTCACTTTACCAGGTACACACATATCATATTGGATGAGGTGCATGAAAGGAGAATGGAGTTTGATTTACTGCTTTGGATGATCAGAAAACTGATGACATCTGTGTCAAACAAAACCAAACTTGTTTTAATGTCAGCAACCATGCAGAAAGATATTTATGTAAGGTATGTATATGTATTAATAACTTTTAGTTCTGAGTATATTTACCAGCTTGGTCATGTTATGATTTAAAATGATTATTCCAGACTTGCTTGGGCACCGTCAGCGTGTAGTGGAACATGGTGAGCACATGGCCAGAAGTTTTCGCTACCACCAGCACAGGTGTTTGTTTTATGTTGGTTTGTTTATTTTGTCAAGATTTCTGTAAAAAAATTCCCTAAACATTTTAAAAAGACACTTTGACAGTGCTTCAGGAATGACATAAGTAATTACAATTGCAAATGAATTCTAGTATGCTTTAAGGATTTAAAAAAAAATCATTAAAGATACATCTGAACAAATATTCTGTGGAGCATGAATTGCCAGTAACGCATGTAAACCACTTCTGTTATTTTCTTATGCGTCAAATAAATTTGTCATGCCAAGGAATAAACTGAATGAACTGGTGGTGTGTCCTTTTTTTCGTGGGTGGGGGTGGGGTCCTAGAAATGTCCTTACTCAAGCTGGTGGTACAATATCCAGAGGCGCCTCTCTGGTCCTCTAGTTCTTTTTATATTTTTTTTTTATTTTATTTATTTATTTATTTATTTATTTATTTATTTATTTATTATAATTATTATTATTTTATTTTTTTTGGAAAAATTGTCAGATTCAATTTTCATAATAGTAATTACTCTGTTTTATTTTTGCACAATTTTGGTGATGTTCGTCCCATAACTGCCAATCAGTAATTTTGTTTTACTTTGAATTTACCGAGTGGATGTGTTTGGTAAAGAGGTAGGTTGCTTTTTAAAATAGGCTTGATTGGTATACATTTACAGTAATTATCCTGGTTTTTGCACAATTTTTGTGTCATTATTTCCATAACTGCCAAACCATATTTTTGTTTTACTTTTACTTTAAATTTACTAAGTGGATTTTTTTGCTTTTGAAAATCAGCATTTATCAGTTTACTTTTATGGTAATTATTTTGTTTTTTTTATATGTGAAAATTTCATTTTTATGTACAGACACAGATGTGTCTGTACATATAGCCATCACCTGCGTCTGTCGTCGTCGCCGTGCACTTTCACCGATAACATGATAAGTGAAAAACCGTTTTACCTTTTGGCTTGAAACTTACAGAACTGATGAATATTCATAATACGCAGGTCAAGTTTGAAAATCGGCATGATCAGGCCATTTTGATGGAAGTTATGTTGTTTTTTCACTTTTTTCAGCATATTTATAACACCGATAACATAATAAGTGATAAACCATTTTACCTTTTGGCTTGAAACTTGCAGAACTGATGAATATTCATATTATGCAGGTCAAGTTCGAAAATCAGCATGATCGGGCCATTTGTATGAAAGTTATGCTATTTTTTCATTTTTTTCAGCATATATGCAACACCGATAACACAATAAGTGAAAATCTGTTTTACCTTTTGGTTTGAAACTTACAGAACTGATGAATATTCATAATACACAGGTCAAGCAATTTTATGGAAGTTATGCTGTTTTTTCACTTTTTTCAGCATATATGCATACCGATTACACAATAAGTGAAAAACAGTTTTACCTTTTGGTTTGAAACTTATAGAACTGATGAATATTCATATTATGCAGGGAAGTTTGAAAATCAGCGTTTTTGGAGCAATTTTATGGAAGTTATGCTGTTTTTTCACTTTTTTCTGCAATGTATGCACACCGATAACACATTTCAAGGAAAATCAATCGGCCAATTGTCCTGAAATTCACAGGGGTGATCAGCCTTACTGAAATACAGATGAAGTTCAAAAATTCAAAAATAAGTTTGATCGGTTCAGTTTTGGTGAAGTTATGCATTTTTTGTATATAAGTGTTTTTTCTTCAGATTTAATTCTTAGGCATGTTAACAATCTCATTTGTAAACTAATTAAATATGTAAAGGTGTTCCTTTGACATTTTCTACATCTTAACAATATCGTCAGTTGATTATATAAAAATGATGGTAAACCTGTTATTGTGCATTGTGTAATAAAGTGTCAAAAAATGGAAATAAACTCATCTTTACAGTTCATCAGATTCAGTCATTCACCATGTTCAGAATCTTAGAATGGAGCAAACTGGACATTTAAAATTGTTCTATTGATATTTTTCCTATATCAACAATTTTCTTAGTTGTTCATTTAAAAATGACAGTAAATTGATTATTTTGTTATGTGTTAAAAAAGTGTTGAAAGTGGAAAGAAAATCATTTCAGTACAGTTTATCTCATTTACATTTTGGCATTTTGAAGGTGTGACTCTGAACTTCCATGGCCTTGAAGACCTTTCCATGTCACATTTTCTGAATATCCATGATACTTTTATTTTATTTTTAAAATTTGATGGTCATTATGTTATATTGGATAAAAGTTGAAGAAAACCCTATTTTGGACATTGCTGCCATTATGACCATTAGGGAAAAAACATGTTACTTGTGATACTCAAACTTACTGAGTGCAGTTTGTGTTGGAAAATCAGTGTGATTGTTTTCCGTTTTGGAAGCAGTGCAGCTCTATAGAGTGCTCTATGGGGCTACTGTTTATGAATGGTGGTAATTGCCCCTTGGGGTAGTCACAAGCTAAATTAAGAGCTATACAATCACTTGCCCCTAATTAATTTCCAAGTGCCCATTAAATAGTATTACATAAAACACACGTTGAGATTTCCCTGTAAAGCCCCATAGGTTAAGCTCTCTTAACTGTGTCACATAATTAGGAATTATGCAGGTAAATATTGTTTAATATTGCAAATAAGTTAACAAAAGAAAAAAAAATTGTGTAATGCCAACATTAATGCTATAGATGAATAACAGTGCCTTATAATCCTCAAACACATTGGGGTTATTCATATCATGTTAATATAGCAAGATAAAAAGTTTGAATAGCAGCTTTATTGGAATATTTTTGATGTGTTTTCTTTTTAATTAGTACCACCAGCGTGTACGCTGGCGGTACTCATGGTTTTAGTCCCGACCCGTCTCGTCCGGCTCCGCTGGCTCCGTTGGCTCCGCCGGCTCCGTAAGCTCCGTAAGCTCCGCCGGCTCCGCGTACTGGCGATGGATACAAGTCACCGTTACCGCTTCTCCTCCTAGACCGCAAGGACCCCTGTCCCCATCTCTTGGATTTAGGTCACATATAACCTCAACTTGAACCCCCAGGTTTTTTTGTCTCAGTCGGTGCATTGACCTGGGCATGACGCTTGTTGAAATGCACCCTTGTCAAAATTTTTGAAAATTCAATGCCAATTATCTACCCTATGGAAGGAATTATGGGAAAATTTTCTACAGACGGCTTTCCAAAAGTCATATGTGTAGATTTCAAATATGCACTTGGATTTGACCTTTGACCTTTATTTCAAGGTCAAACAGGCCAAAATTTTCAAAAAAATGAAATTTTTTACGAAAAAAAATATTATTTGCACTGTTTATCAGACACTACACAGACTTAACCAATAATTATATTGGAAAGTGTTACCCTTTGGGTCATCNCAAGAGCCGTTCGAAATTCATGGCACTTTACCGTACCCACAATAATCGTGAAAATCAGATACATATAATCCAATGTTGCAACAGGTGACTGTTTTACAGCAGCAACTACTATTAATATACCTTGTGTTGTAAGCTGAAACAGCTCAGCCCTTTTGAATCTACAGACCAGATGACCCCGATGAAATGTGATTTTTTTCTGTCCTTACAGATATTTCCAAGACTTGTCTTCCTGGGATTCTGCCCCCATATTTGTTGGTGTCCATCAGCACCCAGTGACAGAGGTTTACCTGGAGGACATCAGTGACCATGTGTGGACATTATCAGAGGATGTGAGGAGATATTATGTCAAAAAGATTGCCATATGTAATGGCTGGGATGACAGCGATTTCATAAAATCTGTAGATACTTTCTTGGAGGAAAATGTCAAAACAGACGGACCAGAGGTGGATAAAGAAGGAGAGGAGTTGGATACAGACGAAGAAGAGTCAGAAACAGATGATGAAAACCTGGAGAAGGAAAGGTACCCACCTTTGGTGTAGCTTATGTATATACTAGTATGTATAACATTTAATAAACAGGCGGCCACTTAGAAATGCACAGATAAGCGTTATAGTACAAATGTTACCCTCAAACTTTCAATAATTCAAAAGGCTAAAACATGCTCACCTTCAAATGCCAACCATATTGAATTTTTTTCTTAATCTTATGCAGTTTTTTTAAAGCCCTGTGCTAGTAGTACATAATGACAAATTTGCGGTGATGATGCCGTTTTACATGTAAAATACTAAAAAAATGACCAAATAACCTTATTTGGGCATCATTATTCAGCGTTTGATACACGCCAAATGCGAGTAAAAATTAAATCTGGCGTGTGAAATTTATGGTGCAAGTCGCCATTTTGGCGAGTATATTTATGTCAACTTTCTATATTAAGTGTATCGGCAAAATTTAGACTCAGTAAAAGTCCGATTGACATGCCAATATTTACGGGGAAGTTCAGGGAATTCCCCTAACTGCTAACCTCGTTTTTACTTTCATAAGTAATAATCGTGATTAGTTGATGTTGAGGAATTCTGTAGTGACGTATTCACAGTCTCACTGTCGATTTTGAAAGCCCCTAGCCTTCGTTTGCGTGACGAAGTTTGACGAAGTACGTCTTGGGATAATGCGCAGTCGATACTTCCTTGAGAAAGCGTGCAAATTGATCATGGAGCAGATTTGAAAATTACGAAGGTCCCATAGAAGAGACTGAGAACATCTCAGAATCAGCCTCAAGTGATGAGTAAACAAAATCAAAGCAGAAACGAACTGATGCAAGCTAACTGTCTGAGCTTTCTGACCCAAAGCATGTTTTTAACGTTCTTGAAATATGTATCTTGAAACAAGTACTTCTAGAGCCTAAATTTTAAAATGAGTAAAACGACAAGTAAAACGATTTATCAAAACAGTTTTTAATTTTATCTTTATTTGCATCTGACTTACAACTAACTATGCAGCATTGGTACCTGATAACATCTAAATCATCAGTCATTACCACATGGCCTCTACTTTGAATATTTGGCTGGTAACTTCTTAATAAAACAGGCCAAAGTCTGGCTTGTACAGTTTCAGTTTGGCCTGTAACTCAAACTCAAAACTCAAAACTCACTGGCCAAATTAGCCTGTGCTATTTCAAACGAAGGTCAAACACTGTTATTTTCTGCTGGATATCAGCCTGACTGCTTTGATGTTCTAATAGATTCACTATACTGGTTGTTGAGTTCATAATTTTTAGATATGTATTTTTATTCTCTCAATTCATCTTTTCAAATGTCATAAATATGTTTATTTGAATTTCTTTCTTTGATGATAGTAATAACAATAATGATTATAATAATAATCCGTGATGTCTGCCATTCTCTGTGTCTAATTACTTGTCATTTACAAATCGGAGACTGTTGTGTTTTAAGTATATTCATTTAATATTTTTGCATGGTTTTAGGACGGGATACTCAAACCTGAGACAAAAGATCTTCAGTGATCATGGAGTGCTTCATGAATCTGCAGTGAAAAAAAGGAGTTACGCTTTGGAACGAATAGTTGTTTCTCTTATACAAGAATACCTGAAGCCTGGAGAAACTTTGGTGGTATTTTTGGATGGTAAGATTTCCATAAGGAACTTACTTTTTTCTCTTACTTCACTGTTACACCTAACCCATTCACATAACAGGCCAGCTTAAACATTCAGGCCACACTGTTACACCTAAAATATTCATAACCTCAGTGTCACATCTAACACATTCACACCTCACTGTCACACCTACCACATTCACATCTCACTGTCACATCTAACACATTGTTATTCACCTTTTAAGGTTACCCTGTCATCTTAGGTACGTATATTTGTGACACATTTCACTCAGAAAAATAGTTTTTTGATGTGTTATGTATGTTTTAGGTATGTTAAGTATTGAAAAGTTGGGGGATGCACTTGGAGAGTTTGAGCCAAATCCCCCTGCTGAGTGGCCTGTGGACCATCTGAGGGTGATTGTATTGCATTCACAGGTAATGTTGTCAAATTCATTTTATCATAACCTGATAATGTGATGAATCCTGCCTCACAACACAATCAGTGATATCTAACACTCATTTAATATGCTTCATCCAGCATTGAATAGATCTTTAAATGTCTATCAGGTTTATTTCTTTAGTATCAAACAGATATGCTGGCTTTAATTTGTATATTTTGATACAAATGAAATAATTTGTATATTATATGTGCATTGATATTGGTAAGAAGCCTTTTTTCTATGTTTTTTCATTCCAGTCATGTCCTTTATTAATTTCTGTTATAGATCCCACCAGAAGATCAGGGAGATGCATTCAAAGCACCAGAAGCCAATTGCGGCCATGTTGTCCTGACAACCAACATAGCTGAGAATGCTGTGACAGTGCCCCAAGTACGTGTGGTAATTGACCTAGGGTGGAAGAGACAGCCAGTGTATGATGTGACGAGCAGACTGACCACTCTACAGCGTACACATATCTCTAAGGCATCTGCCAAACAGAGGAAAGGTATAACACCATACCTGTTAAAACAGTTGAAACTACTAATGTTTCAAATAACGGAAAACATTTGGAAGTTGGAGTTTAATATTGCTAATATATGGCAAAAGGCACCAAATGGGATATGCTGTTTTTATGAATCATTTAAAGTAGATTATTGAGCACATGTGTAGAAGCAATCTCCTTTAAGTGTCAGGCATAGCGCAGTCATCAACAATCGAGGTCTTACAGTTTGTTATATTTTCTGTCGATTTGAGTAGCTTACTGTTGGAGGTTCATTGATTTGTTGCAAAGGCATTAAGGCTGTCAGTTTATGAAGTTCTTTGTTTTCATTTATTTTTTCTTCAATACTTAGTCTGAATTTTTATGTGCATGTTCAAACTGAATTGTTGGAATGCAAGAAAAAATTTCACAAATACAGATGCTTATGTGGTTTAATTTATCGAATAGTTCAATTCTACAATGAATTACCAAATAAATAATTACTGCTATTACTTACCAAGTTTTCTGACTATTATCCTTTACAGGCCGCACTGGTAGAGTGTTTGAGGAAGGCAACCTTGTTATTAGGCTGTACACCAGAAAGCTTTACAGAGAGTTGGAGAACTTTGACAAGCCAGACATCCAGACTGCTCCTCTGGAGAAGGTGGTGCTCAAAGCCAGACAGGCCGCAACAAATGCTTTCCCTGATTTGAGATCAAAGGAAATACTTCAGGACACAATAGAACCACCAGACATCTCAAATATTGATGATGGAATTAAAGTTTTATGGGAGAATGGAGCTTTCACAGGTAAAGAAATGGCATACTAAAATACACTGCTTCACTTAACAAAGTGTCTTGTCTAAACAGACCCTCATTTGCAGAATTACAATCCCTAGGGAGTGATGTGCTAGATAGGTGTGAATGTGACAGGTGTGAAATAAAGGTGAATCTTTGAGTTTGACATTATCAGCAGCGTGAATCCTGGGGGTACTTTCCTTCTGCCTCATCCTACTCTGGCTTCTGCAGGGTCTGTGTCATATCAGCAGAATCAAGTAACCATTACTGCTTGTCCTCCTTGAGTACAAGGACCTGTGACCTCGTCTCTTGGAATTGGGTCACATATAATCTCAAATAAAACAACCTAGATTTTGGGCTCTATTTGTGTATTTGCTTAGATGCTTGTTGCAATGCACCCTTGTCATTTGTTTTGGAAAATAAATGCTAAATATCTTATAAACGGAAGTAAATATTTGAAAAGTTACTATAAAAGTCCGACCGAAAGTCATGAAAATATTTCAGATATGGCCTTGGATCTGAGCTTTGACCCCTATTTCTAGGTCAGATATGCCAAAAATTAATTTCATTTGCATTATATTTGTTTGTGCTGCATAGACCTAAGCTCTAACATTATGGTGAGGATTTCCACTTTGGTTCTCTCTTTTTGTGAGTTTGAGAGCAACCAATGCATTTTCCCATGAGAAACAGCCATTAAATAATGAAACTGAGAATTACTCTAATTCTAGGATCCTAAATGCTCGAGAACTTTTTGTTCTTGCATTTTGTAGAGCTTGTCAAGCGGAAAACCAAGTGTTGAGTCTGATTTTCTTTCATGCACTATTTCAAAAAGTACACGTACATGTACAACTTGGCAATGTTCAATGGTAAAAATTTTCAAAATAAAAGTTGAAATGCTCAAAAACTAGCAGAGACACAGCCACATTTACCTTGAATCGTGAATAGCAAATCAAGTATTCCCAATCTTATTTTAACCTTGAAGTTGACCTTTGACCTACTTTTCACTTTTTCACCATAAACTGAACTTTGCAAATTTTGTAGCCCTTATATCTCCAAACCTAGCAGAAATACAAACAGTTAATTTTGAACTTATGTAGGAACTCAAATATTCATAATCTCTATGTGAAAATGATTTGCCAAGAACTGCACTTTACAATTATTCAAATCCTTTTATCTCCAAAAGGAAGAACTTTAATGATGACTCATAAAATGGGAATCTAATTTGACCTTAAATTTGACCTTTGATTTACGTTTTGCCATGAACTTCACTTTTTCTATCCATTGTATCTCCAAAGGCAGCAGAGATGCACTCTTCAAATAGTAATTGTTGAACTTGAATAGGAAGTCACATATTGGGAATTTTCAATGCGACCTTGGATTTAACCTACTTTTGAGCTTTAATATTAACATTTTGCATACATATTATTGAATTCAATTAAAATTTTAGATTTATCTTTTCCTTTTTTATTTATTTATTTATTTATTTATTTATTTATTTATTATTATTATTTTAGAAAACTCTGATATGTCCAGCATCACTATGCTGGGTCACCTTGCGATGCAGCTTCCAGTGGATCTGAAACTGTCCAGGTTGGTTCTGTACGGCATTCTGTTTGGATGCGCAGTGGAAGGTATCATTCTAGCGGCAGCGCTAGCATCAAAAGATCCCTTCATGATGCCCACTAAGAAAGTCATAAAGAACACAGAGGAATTTGTCAAATCCCTTCATAGGTCAGAGAAGTCCAGACGCAAGTTTGATGGGGGTGCATGCTCAGAGCCAATTGCATTACTGAACTTATTCAAGAAATGGTTGGAGTGGAGCCATAATGAAAAGGGTAAGATGGTTGTGGATACATCAGTATCCATGTGGGATATTAAAAAGGAATTCTGCGAGAATAATGCTGTCAGTTTGAGCAGATTAAATGCCTATGAAAGCTTGATAACACGTTTGGCAAGTTCAGTTCTGAAATATGTATCAGATCAGAGCATTGCCTGCAAGATCAGTGCTTTGGTTTTCTTCATTTCTGACACAAGGGAAGTTGACAACCCTTGTGTTACCAGCCAAACAGATTTCTTCCATCCCTCAGATCTCTTCATCAGTTCTGCCCAACCAGATCTGAAGGCATTGCTTCTGGCAGCTCTACACCCAGCATTTCTTGTTGGTGAAACCATGAACAAGCTCCATTATGTCAAAACAGATGTCTACCCCTTCAAGGAGTATACAAATTTGGAGACAAAAATGAAGGCAAATAAGATGGACATGAAGCGTACAATATATGTCCCAGCAAAACCTACAGTGTATAACAAAAATGATGAATGCAAAGTTAGAGCAATAGAAAAGCTAGCAAAACTGTGTAAATTTTCCCAGCAAACATTGCCAGAACTGAAACCAGCAGAAAAGGGATCACTTTTCATTCAGTATAAAGGAGCAGGGCCAGGGGAGTCTAAAATATTTCATGACATCACGAAAGATGCCCATAGCCTCTTCAAGTTTAGTGAAGGACGCCATAGCATCATCTTCTCAGGTGAAAAAAGACTGATTACTTTAGAGCAGCCAATGCATCCTTTCCGTATCCACTGGTCTCTACTAAGTATTAGAGGGACAGACATGATGAGTCCTGAACAAAGGGAGTATCCGTGTACTGGGTTTCCTAATTGGCGTGCACCATTTGCCTCAGCATGTGATCTAGATCAGCAAACGTATCTGGCTGTTACTCACAATTTTATTAACTGGAAACATTCTGTAGGGCATATTAATGGGATGACCATCCTTCCTCAAGATGAGGGAAATATGTTAGCTCTCTGCTTGATACTCACCTTCCAACCAAAGCACTTCTCAACACGGTTTATTGTAGACATCTGGAGACGGAGAATCACGCACCTGGAACTGTTCAGACACAGATTTGCAATACCAGAAGCATCAGAGCTTACAGAGGAGATACTTGACCACATCAACCAGTTCCGCAAACATCTGTCAGAAGCTTTGTGTGCAGACTTGAAAAAGCAACGTCTATCAGAGTTTTGCAGCATTAAAAGTTTTCTCACAAGATTGAAACAGCTCATGGAAAAAGAAAAGCATCAGAGTAGGAATAAACTTTCCAAATTAGTTCAAGACATCAGAGAGGCAATAGCAGATGCTGAAACATTTCGTCAGCTGCCAGACAAGTTCAAACTGCTGCGAGCACTGAAGGATAAGGAGACACCTTCCATTGATGACATCATAAAACAGATGACACAGGGAACAGACTATGAAGAGAGTACCCAGGATTTGGACTACAGGTATAACTTGTTTTCAAAATTGCAGACTAAGGTGTCTTTTCCACTCAAGACGTGGAAACAAGACTCAATGAGGTCCACAGTAATTTACATGTACTGCATGAACATATGATGCAATTCCCAAAATCAACCATTTGACACAAGTTTTTTTAGCTCATGGGGATCCTCAAAGAAAAACAGCAACCATCCACCCCTACCCATACCTATCCACCCTCTTAACATCCTGGCTTATTCCATTGATAAGATATGCATTAACTGAGGACCTTAACCTCTTCACTTTTAAAAGAAATGGGTGACTTATAAAGCAGATACATGGGGTACTTTATATAGTCATTAGTTACTGTACTTAAGCATAGAACCATTAAAAGTACCAATAATGTTAAAAATAAATTGTAACCTGCATATTGTATGTATTGATATATTGCAGGTACAATGTAGAAATTGCCATAAAGGCCATGATACCTAGTGAGACCCAGGATGAAGAGCTGACTTACCTGCCTCCTTACAACTGTGAGGTCTTCTCCATGGCATATCTGAAGCAACAGAAAGACCAGCAAGATGCAGACAACAACATGGCATACTCCAAGATTACAGCACGTGCTGCAGGACCAGATTACTTTGAATTTTCTCGAAGTGACACCAGTGATGAAACCTCATCAGATGGTGAAGAATGGGAGTTCATGGATGCCAAACAAGAAGAAGAAGAAACATATGTTGATGACAAATCCAGACCAGAACAGAAAAAAGATGATTCGTTCCCCTATCATCCAGTTTTAACAGCAACCAGTTTTAAAAGACGACACAGGAAGAGGAAAGATTCAGTAACGGAGTCAGTCCCAGTAAACATCCCAGGAGTTGGTAAGTATCAATGTTGTATATACTACATACATGTATTACTCTAGTCTTTTTATAAATCATTTAAGTCATAATAACTCTTCGTTTTGGCCAAAAATTGGATTTTCCTGGAAAAAACGGCAATTTTCAGTACTTACCAATGGTCAACGACCCCATTCCTGCATTCAAAGTTAATCCAGGGTTTTTTTCCTAAACATACGGTTTTTTGTTAAAATCTCTTATGATATTTTAACTGACGGAGCCCTCTCTGACATTGCATAGTCACTGGTGACCTACTTAAAACCGCGGGAAAAGCAGACAACAACAACACTATATAACAATAATATAAGATTCATGAGATATATTCGTCTTTTTGTTAAAATGCATTTATATCCACAAGGTGTGCCATTCTGGGCTTTTCGTTATCCGACGCACTGTACAAAAACTTGCAACTTGCGTCTGCATCTGCATCAACGCGTTTTGTGCCATGTTATTTTGGTCTCGAATGAACGCGAGAATCCGCGTGACACCCTTACGTCATTAGCAACGGATGCCTTGACGACCGGGATCAAAGAAAGGCATCGAAACCCTTCTGACAAGCACAGATTTTTGTTTTACTACAATAACGGCCGTTTTAGTGGTAAAATACAATAGAATATACCGTATAGCTAAAAAATAACACGACTATTGGTACGCGTATGATCGATAATTGATTTAATTCTCGTAAGATTACCATCCGCCCCCTTCCTTATGAATAGGTATTACTTTATTAATACAATGCAACCGTCGTGTAGCCGCATGTTTGAAGACAATGTTTGATTACGCACAGCAGTAGGAGGCCGCTACCCCTTCCCAGCAAGGAGTCAACACAGCAGCGCGTAACCCGGGGTTAATTAGGGGTTATTAGCTGTCCACTTATGATCGGTATTGTTCGTCTTGATTGCAGCACACTTCCTACTCACTATTGGTTCGACCGCCTCTTCTTTAAATGCTCTCTCAAACCTTTCCTCAGTCAGCCGAGAATGGAAACACGTTTATCTGCCGATAAACTACGTCGTTGATGTATTATTCGGCATCATTCTACAGTGGGTCATAAGGCTCTATCTATCATTTTTTTCGTCTCGCATTTTACCAGATTAAGCTGACGCTCGAAAACTAAATTTAATGAATAATTTT